TCCCGCCACTTCTTTTTCCTGTTGACTTTGGTTTGGAATTGTGCCTGCCTGGGCCTGGGTGTATGGGTTGCTTGCTTCGCGCGGAACCGGAATGCGTAGGGTAAGTAGTATTTACTTCTCTAAAATTCACATTTGTTTTTCATTTATAATTGCATAGATTTTTTTGTTCTCAGCTTTGAAATGAAACACTGAAATTTGAAACACTCCTCCTTTTTATAATACAAGTCTTGTTCCCTTAATTTGAATCAGTCCAAAGTATAAATCCACTTTAACAACATTTAAAATATTTAATATTTTTTTCTATTTCAACCTCATGTACAATTAAATTTTATAAGTAGTTTATTCATTATAATTAATATAGTATTGATTTTGATAAGGATGTAATTAAAAAAATTTTACAATTTTTTCCATATTTAATAATATAACTTCTATTTAACTAACTACCCTTTTTCCCTCTGCAATTGCCAGCTCTCTTTTCAGTTTTTACTTTTAATGACTTCCTGGCACCCTTTATTTTCCTTGATTTTACAATGCCATTACCACCTTTATTTCCACCTCGAGAAAATCTCCCGTTGCCCCTTAATCAATAAGGACCACCAGTTGTTGAGCCTAAGTTCAACCTCATTTCACACAAAGAGGACTAGATCATCAAGAACTATGTTAATCAGTATTACTTCCACCAGTCTAAATTATAAGACTTTTTTTTAATCTATAAATAAGGTCTTATAATTAAGACCAGTTACTAATAAGGTCTTATAATTAGGACCAGTGATAATATTAAATTTCCATCTTTTTTAACCAAGGGAAAAAAAGGAAAGAATAACCGATCGTTATGAGCTTCCGACGAGCATAGGATAGTCCAGAAGTCAATAAAAGCTCATTTTGTCTCTTCTCTTTACTGGTTGTACATACACACCGATGAGAACAGATACGACACTTGATATTTAGCCAGAGAAAGGTATCAAGGTTGTACATAAAAGCTTTATCAGGATAACTGCCCCGCAAAAGCTACAAAGCATCTTCAGAGTCACTATAATATATTGAGAAGGGGTTTCTCAACACCCTATCGGAGCTCCCCCGAGATGATCCGATATACAGACTAATTTCCAAGCTTACGCTTCATGGAAAATCTGCCGAAAGCACACATCCAGCGTACCAAAGCCCATGTTCTATAACTTATGCGGCCTAGGCTGCTGGGCCGGCTTGTTCACATCGGTCTAACAGATCCAGGGTCTGCAAAATTAAACCCCGCATACCACGCATCAAAATAAGATGAGAAAGAGAGAAACCGATAATGAGATAATAATTGTGCAAAATAGTTTTTTCATGATGAGAGGAAGGAAAATCCATACCTCTGGAACTGACAGCTCAAGACGAAACTTAGGACCATCGTAATGATGTAAAACAGGCCTGAATGAATCTTCTTCCAGTGCCTTGCAGAGTTTCCTCACACGGATCCTTACCTATACGTAAACACAAGGAACAAATTCAACTGCCTATTAAACATCGAATTAATTAAGTACAGGAGCTCTTCTATTCCAACGGCCTAAATTCTACCTGAGCAGGAAATCTCGATTCACCTTTGCATTTTTTATCCTCCCATGCAGTAGGATCAATGTTAGAGCCTCCAAAACTTGCCGCCTGCAAAAGTCTTTCCGAAGTAAGTGCATAAACTAAACACCTATTTTTCTGTCATTAACTCCCCCCCGCCCCCTTTTCTCCCATTTCATATATATTCGAGGCACTAAATAGAGAGTAAAAGTATAGTAATTTCTGCAAAGCCTGATGCACAATTTAATAATACAAGCCACATCAAAAATTTAATATAACCCCAATTAAGCATAACCCACCTCAAAAATACCGTGCAGCTGATGAGTGGTATAGTTATACAAAAAGAGAGGCAGCCCTGGTGTAATTGCTCGAACAGAATCCCGATACCTCGAAGGCAAACCTATTAACTAATCATGTCAGTCCTCAAGAAATACTTGTTTGCAATCTTCAAAATAGAATATAGACTATATTTAATCAGCACAAAATATGATACGCTATAAATTCTAGATTGAGTTCTTCAATGATTGTGTTAAATAATTACAATATTAAAAGACAAGCAACTTCACCAACCAAGTTCTCAGCCATTTACTCTCTAGTGCATTTCACGTTACTTCCTCCCTACTCTCTAGAAAAAACATTGCCCCTCGTTACAGAGATTAGAACCGGACAAATCTGGCAAATTAACCATGCCTTATACTATTAGACCATAACCAATGGCAAGTAGTGAGTACATGCATTATGTAACCAAAAATAACAAAGGTAAAGAGAAAAAGACTCTCATAAACAAGAGGCCATGCCAATCTACAAACTACACCCCCCCTATCACTATAAATGGTTGGTAGCGATTGAGTAAAGCACACTTACCAAATAGCTGATGCTTCAAATCTTCCTCCATTGTGTCGTTGTTACACACAAGATGTATCCACCAAGAACCTCATTTCGAGGCAGTGTTTCTGATGCAGGCAACGTCTTATACCTTTTGTCATTTGCATTTGAGTTGACACTATCATTGCTGTTATTATTGCTACAGTTGTGAGATTCTTTGTTCTGAACATTGCCACTATACTTGTCACTGTTCATATTTCCCACCAAGCTTGAATTGTTCTTCTGATACACTACATTCATATTGTATATTACACCATTTCGGAAAGAGTTTTTGTTCACATGTTCGGTAATTGGAGAATCTGCATTTAACATGCTGACATTAAGAGTGTCGAATTTGTTATCTTCCTGATACCCAAATTTATCCCTTGACCTTGTTTCAATTGGACCCTTTGAAAGATCAAGGTTATTCAGACGCTCTCCTTTTAACCTTGTCTGCTCAGCCAATTTAGAAGCAGCCAAAAGCCATTTCTGATCCTCCGATGTTCTTGACTGTCCACGAAGCTGATTTCCCAATTGCCAAAAGCTGTGCATGTCATCCATCTTTTGAAACCCTAATTGAATTCAAAAGCAGTTCAGGACTTGTTGAATAAGATCAATAAAAACACAGCAAGAGACACCACAAGGAAAACTAAAGTATTATGGAAAATGGAGAACAATGGCATCTTCCCCCCCCCCCACCCCCAAAAGTAGGGGGAGGGTTAGGGATGTTTGAAGTCCACCAAAATATTATAGCATAATAAATCACCAAGTGGCATCGAATATTATGGCACAGACTAGAAGCATTGCCACACTCACAATCCCTCAAGAAAGAATGAATTCACTAGTGTTCACACGCACGGCACAGTTGCAACAATTCCAATTTCAAAAGTAAATTAGCCTTATCCACTAGGTGGGGTCGGCAATGAATCACACGACGCCATTCATGCTATATCAAAACCCATCCTTAGATATGTTGTTGATTAGGAGGTCCGTTCAATGAACTAATATAGGATCAACAAACTTTAATTGCTGATTGGAAATCTTATAGTATCCTACTAGCCGAAACGAGCAGAAGAGAAGGTCTCATGCATTTTATTACTATCAATTTTCAAGAAGCTGCGGTCACCAGGTTTTTACATACACAGCAGACTTGAGGTAAAAATCATTCCCCGTGATTACATGGCTTTCGTTTCGCATCTAACGTCATTGAAACAATGCAACTCTTGGATATAGTAAACCTGCCATGATCGACCGGCCTGGTTCCATTTGCAACTTTGGTATCCATCGGGAAAATTGAAAAGTGAAGTTCAATAATCCGCACAAAATGTAAAGCAACAACATAGGAAAAAATTTTCCATTTTAGGAAGCTCAGATTTTATTCCATTTCGCCAGCAACCATAGAACACTAAAACTAAGAAAAAAGAATGGAGCAAAACAGAAGATATCAGCATCCAACTCTAAAATGAGCATCGTTCCTGCCATGCTAGACCTCAATCAAACCAATTATGTAAAGAATCCTGATTCTTGAACTCCGTCAACATGTACAGGAAGTACGAAGTCGCCCTATAGAAAAAATCTACGATATGGAAATTAGCTCACTCAACTCAGAAAATACACACAACAAAAAATCCAATTATAGAGCTGAACACGAAAATTAGGCTACTGACTCGGGAAATTCGAAGAGCAAGATTTAGGGATCTCAGTACTCATCAGAGAATATGAAAAGCGTTAGAGATTAGCTAATGCCTACCAGGCTATGAACCCCGAAGGCCACGAGGAAGACAGCGAGCTTCAGTTTGAAGTAGCTGGAACTTTATCGTTCTGATCTTTCGTATATTCCACAAATGCCCATGAAATCTTGATTGAACCTCGTCATTTGCCCAAAAAAAGAAAAGCTATGTGCTGAGAATATGTGCTGAAATCGTTATTTTTGCCCTAACCCTCTCCCTACCAAATGACCTTTGGATTTTTTTTATTTTTTCTGGGTTGACCGTGTGCGGAGAATATGTGCTGAAATCGTTATTTTCATGTGTAAACGCATGGTCAAAAGAACTTTGATCCCAAAAAAAAATCACTCGTGCCTTTTACAAAAGTGTAATTTCAATTCTCTTTTTACCTTAGAGTCAATTCAATCAAACAAACGGAGAGTAGTTATTCGGTTGGTCTAAAAGATAAATTATATTAAGTCAATGTACATATGTATATATTTAGCATGTCTTGGTTAGTTGGAGAGGTGGCAAGTAAAAAATCAGTTACTGATTTTTCTTGTTATTGACTAAGGTTGCAAACTACTCCTTTTTTGAGCAAAAAGGGGATTAGATACAGCAATATAGTCCAAGGTATGGAATGAATCACAAACATCATAGAGGAAACACAACCATAACAAGAATAGAATAATACTCCAGACGCATATTTGTTGTAACCGATGAAGACTGTTTTTTTTTATTTGTCCCTCCTTTGATTTCGCTGATCTGATCTTATCTTCAAGAGGTTCAAGAGGTATATATACTGGGTCTGTTCGTTACAAAAGTTGTAAACTCTTGTGTTGCATCCAGGAGGCAGACAAACAAAGAAAAGGCAATTCAATGGCAGCTGCAAAAGCTCATTATTTTCATAACTCTACATGGTCCTCCACAATATCATGCTACGAAGTAGCAGCAAGCAATCCCAATAGAATATGGAAAAGTGGGCCCATCCTCGAAGACGAGGGCCAATTCTTGTGTGTGCAAATCGCCTACGCTGTATTTACTTCTAATATTTTATACTACATCATCAAACCTTTTCACCAGCCTCGCATTATCGCAGAGATTCTCGTAAGTACATGAACATTTGTATCACAATAACGTCGCACACATGAACATTTGTATCAGAATAACGTAAGAGTTTTCTCATTCATTATTATTCATTTCTTTCGCACAGGCTGGTCTCACTTTAAGTCCTCTATTTTTGGGACGCACCGTAATAGGGAAGACGCTTTTGGCTCCAAGATTACTCCTCAATATTGAAACCTACGCTAATATTGGCCTCATGTGCTATGTTCTTCTCAGCGGTTTAGAAATGAACTTAGATACGATTCTACGAATCCGAAGGAAGGCCGTAAGCATCGCCGTTGCTGGGATTATCGTACCAGTGGCGATTGGGGTTGGCCTCTTTGCTATGTTACGTCATTTTTATGAAAATTCTGCAGCAGAAACCCATTTCCGTGAGGATAAAAAATATATCGTTGAGGCGTATTTATTCTGGAGTTTGGCTCTAATCATCACAGGCTTCCCAATCCTTGCCCGAGTCCTTACTGATCTCAAGTTGCTGAATACGAAGCTCGGCAGAATCACTTTAACTGCAGCTATGATAAGCGACGCCTATGGTTGGTTTTTGTTCGTGATATTGATTCCATTTGCCGGTAATGATACAAGACCAGTACTGTCGGTGCTAACTACCTTATTGTTCATCCTCATATGCTTATTTGCCGTACGCCCAATCATTACCCGATACATTCATTACAAAACCGACACAGATTCGTGGGAGAATTCTCAGCTGGTCACTACAGTGTTGTTGGGTGCTATCGTTTGTTCTTATATTACAGATGCGCTTGGCACGCACGCCATTGTTGGAGCTTTTGTGTATGGGCTTATTTTACCTAATGGGAAATTTGCTGATCTGGTGATGGGGAAGGTAGATGATTGTGCTTCCGGGCTTATATCATCACTTTTCTTCTTTCGTTCTGGCTTAACAGTTAACTTGGTCACGGTTGCACAACAAAAATATTGGCCATTGATGGCCCTCGTTATCGTCCTTCTATTCATCCCCAAAGTCTTGAGCACTTTGATAACTACCTTCTTCTTCAATATACCTGCTCGTGATGGCTTGGGCATTGGACTACTTCTCAACACCAAAGGCGTCCTGGCACTGATCATTCTAGACATAGCCTGGGATAGAAAGGTATACATACTATTTATTGAAACTGTTTGATATATATTATTCACGCTGTGCAGAGCAACTTCAACTAATCAGCTCTCTCGATATCTTGCAGATTTTATCTGTGCTATATTTCACGATTATGGTTTCTGCGGTTTTTCTGATGACTATCGTGGCGCCAATTTTCATCAGCGCCATGTACCACCCAAGAAGGCGCTTTGAGATGTACAAGCTAAGGACTGTCCAAAAGCTAAGGCTTGAGACAGAACTTCGAATCCTTGCTTGTGTCCACAACGTTCGCCAAGCTGCAAGCATGGTTAGCGTCTTAAAAAACTGCAATGCCACCAGAATTTCTCCTATGCATGTGTTTGGAGTTCGTCTGGTTGAATTTAGGGGCCGAGCTGCCGCCACCCTTTTTGCCGCCCATATAGAACAACCTAGCACCCTCACCGGATCACCAAGCATGGCCGGATCATCACAAAATGAGTCAGAGAACATCACGAACGCCTTCAACGTTCTAACAGAGTGGAACCACGCCGTTAGAGTCGAAACCACCGATGCCATGTCGGTATATGAAACCATTCATGATGATGTATACTGCTTGGCACAGCAAAAACTAACGTCCATAGTGCTCCTCCCTTTTCACAAGCAACCAGATGTAGAAGGTGGTCTGGAGACAACAAACGCTATATACAAAGACATAAACCTGAACGTTCTGCAAAATCCTCCTTGTTCGGTGGCAGTCTTCGTTGATCGTGGTATTGGGACATCATCGTCCAGAAACAACACAAGCATCCTAACGCTCTTCGTCGGCGGTCCTGACGATCGTGAAGCCTTGGCTGTTACATGGAGAATGGCCGGGCAGCCAGGGACGGAAGTCTCCGTGGTGCGGATTGTTCTGTATGGTGAAGCTGCAGACGTATCAGTCGACAGTGAATCTCAGTGGATATCTTCTGCAATAATGGACGAAGAGAGGCACAAGTTGTTAGATGACGAGTATTTAGATTCATTCAGGCTCAAGGTGGTTCATAATAATGACTACGTTACATACTCAGAGGAGGACGTGGGCAGTGCTGATGAACTGACTTCACTTATGCAGGAGTTTGCCAAAGATGACTATGATCTGATCATCGTTGGGCAAGGGAATAATAGGAACTCAGCCTTATTTTCAAATCTCTTACAATGGTGTGACAACCAAGAACTGGGAGTATTAGGGGACATAGTGGCCTCAGATAATTTTGGTTCCCAATCTTCATTGCTTGTTGTGCAGCAATATGATTCGATCATGGAGAACGGGGCTCAAACTCGACAACCCGCACATTCGCCTGCAAATAGTGATAGCTCTCAGGCACCTCTTGTGTAACACATTTTAACATGAATCGTACTGGTGTTGGTAATTGATTATTAGTGAGGAATTGTTAATTATGCAGTTTCAAAAACTAGATCTCTTCTTGCTCTTAGGAGTACCGGGAGAAATGAAGCTAAACAAATCATTTGTAAACATTAATCAAATTGTCAAAAGGATCAACATTTTTTTGCAAGTCCTTTTTTTCCCCATTCTGTCCTGTCAGTTCAAGTGTCCATGTGTCAGATATATTTGAAGTTTGCTTAACTTTAGATAGATACACTTAAGGGATGTTTGGTTAAAAACCATGATTCTAAAAATGTTTTTACGGTATACGAAATAAATATGTGAAGGAGTTTGTCTCGTTTTGCGCAAAGTGCCTCCAAACACTTCCTTGGGGAGTGGTGGGATGAAACCAAACCATGGTGTGGAGAATAGTCTGGAGAATATATTCTGTGAAGAATAGTTTTTGTGAAGAATAGATTTTGTGAAAAAGTAATTCTAAGAAGTGAAAGTGTTTGGATAGTTGTTATCAGAAGCAATTTTTATATATACAAATTACTAAAAAAAAAGACATAAGTTAATATGATAATTACATAAAAGATAAATTTTATGATATATTTTAATTTGAAAAAATAAAATTGTTAATAATATATTTTTTTACCAACATAATTAATAATACATAAAATAATATAATTAATAAATAATTAATATGTGTATATATATTTATAAGATATAAGATTAAATATGTTTATAAAAAAATAATTGAGGGATGTTAAAATCATATTACTGTTGAGATTTACTCTAAAAGGCACAATCATACTCTCTAATTTGAGTCAGAAGCAGAATGGATTCACTTCTTCTGAAACTATGGTTTTGGCATAAACCATGGTTTCAGATTATTTCTCTAAAATTAATGCTGTTTGGGTGACATCCCACCTAAATTATGATTTGACCTCCTAAACCATAGTTTTGAAGGGCACCAAACAGGTCCCTAAACTAGACAAGCTAACTCACCTGAAAACAAAGGACAAATCCAGCTGGAAGAAAATTTTTGGGGGTCAGATGTTTTCTACAAGTCTTGAGTCTTGACGCGCACATTGTCACGGACTTGGTCTTAATTCCAACGAACCGTGCGGCCTAGCAAACTTCTTGCCTTAAGTTGCTAGTCAGCCTGCTCACGAAGGAACACGAAGGAATAGGAGACTCAAAGAAAGAACTTTGTATTGATCTCTTGAAGTACTTACAACACTCTCACTTTCTTGAATGTGTGAAATGAATGAGGGGGAGGGGGTATTTATAGTTCTCCACCTCCTCAATAGACGGCTAAGATCTACTTGATCCAACGGTTACAATGTTGTATCTAGAATACTCTACAAAAATATCTAGATATTTACAAAGGGGTTAGGTGTCTCTTCAATTATCTATAGTGTTCTGGAACCTTCCAAGCTTCCCAACAAGCTCCACACATTTCTAGAGAGTTCCAGACTTACCCAAGACTTTTGTGGACACCTTTGGACAGTTCTGGGCAGCGAGCCTTTATGTATTTTTGGGCAAAACATGAGCGGTGCGTTACATTCTCCCCCACTTAATGTGGCGACGTCCTCGACGCATCCCTCTTGTATGCCTCAATCTTCTCCTTATAGTCCTATAAAGCCAGCTCGTGTTCCCAGCTTGCTTCACTATCGGGAGACCCTTTCCATTTAACAAAGTATTCAATGTAGCTCGGATGACTCCCCCATCTCGGTATTACTCGGTGCGCGAGGATTTCCTCAACTTCCCGTTCTGGCACCGTAGTAATTGTTGTAGGGGCTCTTCTAGACTCACCTCTACTTGGTTCATCCTTGTCTTCGTTGTATGGCTTTAGTAGGCTTACGTGAAAAACAGGATGCATCTCCAAGTGTGAAGGTAGAGTCAAGCGATAGGCTAGCTTACCGATGCGTTTCTCTATAGGAAACGGTCCTTCATAGCGCCTCACTAGCCCTTTATGAACCTTGGCGAACCTTCGGCTTTGATGAGGAAGGAGCTTCACCATGACTAAGTCACCTTCCTCAAACTCTAAGTGCCTCCTCTTAGCGTCGGCCCACTTCTTCATCTTTTTCGCGGCCTTAGCCAAGTACGCCCTCGCCAAGTCTGATTTTTCATGCCACCCCTTGGCAAACTTGAAAGCTGAAGGACTCGGGCCTTTATAGCCAACAGCTAAAGTGTGCGGAGTCATCGGTTGTTGCCCCGTGGCTAACTCGAACGGACTTGACCCAGTTGATTCACTTTTCTGCAAGTTGTATGAAAACTGGGCAATGTCCAAGAGCTTAACCCAGTCCTTCTGGTTGGCACTTACGTAGTGCCTCAAGTATAGTTCGAGTAAAGCGTTCACCCTCTCCGTTTGGCCATCGGTCTGCGGGTGAAAGCTTGTGGAAAAATTAAGTTCGGACCCCATAATTTTGAAGAGCTCCATCCAAAATCGTCCAGTGAAGCGAGTGTCCCGATCGCTCACAATAGTCTTTGGTATGCCCCAATACTTCACCACGAACTTGAAGAATAACTTTGCAGCATCTTCTGCAGTGAATTTGGTTTGGACTGGTATGAACACTCCATACTTGCTAAACCTGTCCACCACCACCATAATGTTGCTGCATCCTTCCGTCTTCGGCAAACAAGTGATGAAGTCCATGGAAATACTTTCCCATGGTCTCTCGGGAATGGAAGTGGCTCTAGTAAGCCAGAAACGGGGCGCTGTTCCACCTTGTCTTGCTGACACACAAGACAAGTCTTCACGTAGAGCTCTACATCATCTCGCATCTGGGGCCAAAAGTATGCTCGCTCAATGAGTGCCATCGTGCGTCGAACTCCAGGATGTCCAGCCCACCTCGAGTCATGGCACTCCTTAATGATCTCCTTCCTTAAGCCTTGCCATTTCGGCACGCACACTCGGTTTCCTTTGGTTATGAGCACCCCATCCTCAAGCCAAAACCGGCGTGTCTTTCCTTGACTTGCCAATTCCATCAAACTTTTGGCTTGTGGGTCGTGCTTTAGTCCCTCCTTGACTCGATCAACCAAAGGGAAACTCGGGCTAGTGATGGAGGCAAGTTCGGCCTTTCTACTTAATGCGTCGGCCACGACGTTCCCTTTTCCTGGCTTATACTCCATCACAAAGTCGAACTCTGCTAAGAAGGCTTGCCACCTTACCTGCTTCGGTGTAAGTTTCTTCTGCTTAAGGAAGTAGCTCGTGGCGACATTATCGGTTTTCACAATGAACTTAGTACCCAGCAAATAATGTCTCCACGTTCTCAGGCAATGCACCACTGCCGTCATCTCCTTCTCTTGGACTGTGTAACGCCGTTCTGCATCATTGAGCTTACGACTCTCGTAAGCCACCGGATGACCTTCTTGCATTAGGACTCCTCCTAAGGCAAAGTCCGAAGCATCCGTTTGTACTTCGTATGGTTTGGTGTGGTCAGGCAAGGCCAATACCGGTTCCTTGATCACGGCTGCTTTCAGTTCCTCAAAAGCGGCTTGACACTTATCATCCCAATCCCATACTCGGTTTTTCTTTAAAAGATCAGTGAGGGGAGCGGCTATCGCAGAGTAACCTTTGATGAATTTTCGATAATAGTTGGCCAATCCAAGGAAAGAACGAAGTTCGGGTACCTTCCTTGGTGGCTCCCATTCCTGTATAGCACGCACCTTGGACTCATCCATCCGCAGTTTG